CCTAATAAAAAGTAATGCCTAACATGCTGGATGTGTACAAGAAGACTCATATCAGACGTGACTTGTGATTCTTTAATTCCTGGTAAACGACTACTTTCAATTCTAGTAACTAAATTAATCTATTAATTCTACCGGTTTGCTTTAACTTTTATCATGGCAATTCTGTAATTGTGCCATAAAGTATTGGACGGTTAGCATTGCAGATTCATGATTATCACTTAGATAACATTTATTGGAATTTGTTGATATATTATGCAGGTGCAAAGCTAGAAGATAATGAGGCTAAGAAAGAAGCAAACAAAGCTAATTTAATTGCAAAGTGACAGGTCGATCGTCAAACAACATTACAAAGAGAAAAGTGATAATGATGATGATCATGAGCATGAAGACGATGATGATCTCTCTAAGTTTATGTGTTTTCCTTAGGGTGTGTTTGGGAGTTGGATTTTGGAGGGGAGGGGAAGGTCAATGAAGGTTTATGACCCTCCTTTTCATGTTTGGGAGTTTAAAAAATTGGAGGAGTAGTTTTGGAGGGCTTTTGTAACCCTTCAAAATCCTCCAAATGCTTAATTTTTAAGTTCCCCCAATTTGGAGGGTTTTGGAGGATAATTAACAAGATGATAATTTAAGCTAAATTAGAAATGAATATCAGCTCAATGATTTGAATTCGTCATATCTCAAAGTGATTTTAATTATAATTCTTTCAAAAACCCCCTCCTTCCAATTTTATTACTCCCAAATACAAAGAAGGGCTTCCTCACCCTCACCTCCCTTTCCCCTCCAACAACATACCTCCAAAGCCTTCCCCTCCCCTTCCCTCCAAACTTCCAAACATACCCTTAAGCTTTTAGGTCTATATTGTTAAATCTTAATGTTTTCTTAACTCTAGTTAGTTTGTTTTTACACAGTTTGATGGTAGATTAGATTGAAAAAATTATTTATGTAGTTATGACAATCAGTTCTAAATTTAATTTATGTTGATATTTTGTGATATATTGTACAGGAAAATTTTATTTGTGTGATGCTTTTATATTCAATTCTAGTGTATTTTTATATTTTCAATAGTATATGGAAGTCGACATTGATTATTTACTATACCAGGCAAAATAATACTTTCGTATATAATTACGATTAAATGTATATTGTTTAGTTCTGCATCAACTTATGGTTGTCTCTACAAAAATTCCATATTTGAAGTTGCATCTGATAATATTTAGGAGCAGCGTAATAGTGTCTCTAATAACATCTTGAGTCTTTCAAGTGATTGCCTCAAAAAATATTTTGAGATAATATAACACGGTTGCCTCTAATGACATTTTAAGACAGAAGGTCATGATTGCTTCTAAACATATCTTTTTAGAGGCGCATCTCTTTTTGCCTCTAAATAGTGTTTTTAGAGGCAACCATCATTTTGCGACGGAGTATTTGTTGGCAACCACTAAATTGCCCCCAAATAGCATTAGAGGCTATTTTCCTATTTTTAGAGACGATTATGTCTTGCCTCTACAAATCAATTTTATTGTAGTGAACGGCTAGAGTATTTTAGACATAGTGCAAGGCTATACCCTTGAAATGCTTTAGGATATTTTGGAATTGACAAAGCACAAAGCACATAAGGGTAAAGGATTTTGACCTCTCTAGACAAGACTTCTTGAATGTAAGGATGAAACAAAGGAACTTGATTACAATGAACGAGACAGTTTAATGATCAATGTTTTAATAAGCTATTTGAGTGATTGAATATGTGTGAGGATGAGTGAGGACTGTTGCTCATGTGAGAACTGAAATTAAAGGATGACACACGATATATCCCGATTCAGAGGTAGTGTGATCCTCCTACATCCAGTCCCACCTTCAAGATGATGGATTTCCACTAGATTGTGAGGTTTTTCACGAGGAATCAAAACACCATTCCAAGCTACTCAGTCCTCCAAGGTTTTTCACAGATGGCATTTGACTTGCCAAAAGTTATTCATGTCCTTGATCTTTACTCACACACTTTCTGGATTTGATCACAAATCCCTCCAGGGATTACAAACTTATTTAGCTTAAAACATTAAATCTAAACTTCCAACTAACTAAGCTCTAATGATACATATGTGTATGAACTATTCTAAGAGCTTAGAGGAGTGGGGTGAGAACTAGAAGACGAGTGATGATCAATACTTGCTCCTTTGTTGGATATGTCATATAGGCTCATTTTTCCTTCTTAGCTCTACACTTAGTTCTCACACACTCCTTCTGTATTTATAGACTGAGTTGTTGAATGTCTCCCATTGGCCAAGGAGGTTTAATCTTGAATTGATCGTTGATAGATCCACTTGGTGACTGTGAGGCAACATGGTTGACTTTTGTCGTTTTGTGACACGAGTTGTGACTTTTTTGTTCAACTTGTATTCCAAATTCCTCTCTTCAAGGCATGTGTCTGAGATAAACTATTGATTTAATCTTAATCGTAAACTGAAAATATTTCAGATTTAAGTTTTTAGTCACTTCTTCAATGCTTCCTCGATTCATAGGTCTCTTGTATTCTTTATTACAAAAATAAAAGCACTAATAATAATGTTTACAGTTAGTTAAAGTCATTATGAAAAATGCCTTTTTACTTCTGCCTTTCTACAATTACCGAACTGCTGGTGGATCCTGTGGTCACATGTTGCGTTATTTTGTTTTGTTTGTAGAGAGATATAAGATGGACAATATGGTCTGATTCAGCTACCTTCGATTTCATAGAGTATGGAATCAGTGGAGTAAAGTATGGAACCAGTAGAGTATGAAATCAGTAGCCTGATGATTTTTCTACGAATTATCAGTAGGTTGAAGTTCCTTCAAGTGATTCCGTTGACCATTTTCGTACTTTTTTTTTTGTTTCTTTTCTTTTCTTTGGTCATTTTAGTATTCTTATTTTCTTTTTCTTTTTCTTCATTTGAGTACTTTTCTTTTTTAACCATTAATGCAGCAAGATACAAAATACTACAAGCCAAGTTTTTCATAGTCTAATACAGTTTGATATCATCAAAATCTAGGGGACCTAACACTATTTAACTAGTGAGTTTGGTATTTAGTCTCGTTTGATATGTTACAAAATCGAGTACTCATTATTTAATAGAAATAAATTAAATATTACAAAACTAAGTTTTTTTGTGTGTGTGGCTTCCTATTGGACGGGTAGTCCGAGTCCAGCTCCCGTCTAGGCTGGTAGACAGTCTACCGACTGAACAGGTAGACAGGCTCCTCACTGCGTTGATAGGTAATCTTGGATTTCCGCCTTGTTGGATTCGCTTTCCTTGATGATCTCTATTGGTAGGGCCGGTCCGAGCTCCTTGATCGTTGTGCTCACTTGTCGAGCTACCCCTGGTCGAGCTCCTTGGGCTTGATGGTCTAGGCCGTGGGCTTGGACTTGGGGGTCCAAGTATGAGGCTTGGGCTTGATTAGGCGCTGAGTCTTGTCCCATAACCCCCTCAACCACTTGAACCAAGAATAGAAAGATTAGATAATTAGAATAAACAATTCAAACTAGATCAGATCACACTAGATTAGACGAATTCCAAACATCCTAACTCTAAAACCATATATTTATGGGTTCCCCTAAAATTTGATTTAATTTAGTTTTATTTCTAGCAAAAGTGACTACTTTTACAAGGGACAGAATGCGACTAACAACGTGATAGATTTTCTAGATAAAAAAACAGGAAATATTTAATATTTTCCAATGAAATTCCAGTTAGGTTCAGTTTCCGGATTTCGATCAGTTCTATTTTCCTACCCCTAATATTTAATAGAAAATTAAGAACCTCATATTACATTTTTCGACTTATCAGCTTTACTAGTCAACTTTTTCACTTACCACACACTTTTTGATTTCGCGCATTGAGTTTGCGTTATAATCAAAATAAGTAAGATTGAAGTTATTTTTCCAATCGAAATATCTAAAGTTATCACGGAGGCGTATTTTAGCTATTTTTTCATATATATATATATATATATATATTATTTTATTGATAAAATATACGTAGTATTTTTAACATTTTTTTCTATAATTTAGCATTGATTCATTCAATTAGTAGAAAATGGAAAGTAATGGTATTTTTGTGTGATTTTTATTTGGCAAAAAGGGTCAAATAAGCTCTCGAACTAACTTAAAAGTGCAAATCACCTCTTATTTAGGAGACTCTGTCTGGCCGTCGCCATTTGAGGCTGTTCTCGGTGGATTTTTTTGATGAATTTTTTTGAACATCATCTTCATTAAGTCTAGTTTACTCATACCAAATTTCAGATAAAAATTAAATGAAGAAGAAAGTCAAATGATTTTCTGAAATGTAATGTGTTGTTTAACTGCGCAGTTATCTTCTAAAATTCATTTGACTGCCTTCCCGATTGAATATTTAGTTGAAATTTGGTATGAGTAAACTAGACTTAATGAAGACGATCTCGGGTATGTTTTGCTTGGGGTTATCTCACATTGAGGCCGGAATGTGATGCCTGGAATGTTAGATACCCATGTTTGGTTCACGGTTTTGAGAAAAGATCGGGAAAGTTACATTCCCGGAAATGTAATATGGAGGGGAATGTTATACCCTTCCATGCCTTAGCCCTTAGGTTATCTCACATTCCCGAGGATGATCTAATTTTCTTCCGAAAACACCCTCAATTAATTACCTCTTTTCATTTAATTTCTCTATGTATTCAACTTTTATCAAATTTGATTTTTTATGATTTTATAAAACTTTTAATGTAGTTTCTAAACGTGTAACTTTTATTTACTGAAAATAATTTTATTATTGACAATGATCAGTTAATTTTAGGGGGATTTCCTTAAATATTACTAAAATATAAGTTATGGATAAAAATATAACTACGGTTAATATGCAAGTCACTATGATGTAAAGTTACTATCATAGTCACTAAGTCATATTTGTGTCCATTACCTTCGTTTCAGTTATATATTTATCATTATTTCTTAATTTTATAGTCATTATTTCTTAATATTATATTATGTAATTAGTGAAAGCCTGTCGAAGAGTACAAGAGCACTACAGGTCTAAAACCCAGAGTCTTCTGCCTATCATCTCCGTGAAGGGCTGCCCACACTATTTTGCTTAGTTCACGCTCTTTACCAGTATGGCACCCGATGCTTCAGATGCTTTTGCAGGTTGATTTCGTGTTAAACGTGCATAAATTTAATGATCTATGAAAGACAATCGATATATATATATATAGGTATCATGTATGTATGTATGATGAGATGAAACTCAAATATTCAGTTTTGAACAGTGAGGGAGAAAGTTGAGAAGTTCCTTAATGCTGCTCGGACCGGGAACATTGATCTTTTCAAGAGTAAGTTCTCTTTTTGATTTGTTGCATTGTTCAAGCTGATAAAGCATTAATCTTTCTACACCTTTTCTGTTTTGGGATTGTGAATTGAATGCTCAATGCTGGAAGTTGAATTTTTCAATAGATTTGGCCAAACAGATTGGCGGTGGGAATGAGTTGGCACAGACGGTGGCAGATGTTATGGATGCAAACAAGCGTGGAGCTCTGCATTTTGCCGCTAGGGAGGGCCAGACTGATATGTGCAAGTACTTAGTTGAGGAATTGTTGCTTGACGTTAATACCAAGGATGAAGATGGTATTTTAGAGCTTTATTTTCTCCGTTTCCCTAGTTATTTAAGCATCCTTGAATGTGTTCAACTTTTTTGCTTAAGCAGAGTTTGGAATGTTTTTAAACCTATGGTTTTGCTGCTTTTGTTGTTATTGAAGCATGTAACCAATTATGGCACCATTCTCAAAACACTTCAATTTTTTATAAAATCTATTTATATTAAATAATACCTCTGTCCCACAACAGTTTGCCTCAAAATTTGACCAATGATATATTAACATCAATTAATTTATATTTGTTGATTATAAATTTTATACTTCTATGAAAGTTTTTAACAAAGAACATTTTCATAGTTTCATACGCCCTCCGTCCCATAATTTACTTCCGTAGTACAAATGGCACAAGGATTAAGAAAGTGGGTTTTGTGTGGTGGAGAGTTGTGCAGAGGAGAGAGAAATGTGTAAGAATCGTTGTGAACCACAAATTCTTTGCCAAAAAGGGAAATGGAAGTATTTTTTGGGACGGACGAAAAGGGAAAGTTGGAATTATTTTCAGGGATGGAGGGAGTATCATTTTCATATTAATATATTACAAATATTTTGTTTAAGAATATATCTTTAGTCACAGTTTGACAACATTGAGCAAGAAAGTTAAATATGACAAACTTTTGGGGCACCCTCCGGACGGAGGGAGTAAACAATATGAACATCATACACAAAACAGACGTACCAATCTATTTTATATTTTAGAAGTTCAAAACCAAAAAAAAGTTTAAAAGCATAAATCAGAAATCTTTTGGGAATAAGGGTTGGATATTGTTGTAAATCAGTAATTGTTAACAATAATATATGCTACAATCGTCCCGTTTAAGTTTATTTAGTGCTTTTTATATCTGAAGTTGTTTGTGTCTCATTTGTGGACGATTACATGAAAAGCAAGCTTTGTTGATCAATCAAAGACATCTTTTTTCTAGACATTTTTTAAACCAGACTCCTTTTTCGAGACAGGGGGTGTATATTTTTAAGTTATGTATTATAAGGGCGGAAGCAGACCATCTAGGTTCCCTAGATGCTAAATGTTTGTCTTCTACCCAATAAGTTTATTGTGACTTATGATAGCATGGAATGTGTATTAGAATGTGACCTGAACACAAAAACAATGGGCACCATAATATAAAATATAATGTGTGCGAATGAACTGAAAGTTTACTGCATTCTAATAAGAACCTGATTGTTAATACAACAACAACATTATCCCAATGCCGCAAAGGCTCCCACCTATGGTGGGGTAAGGGGGGTCGGATGTACGCAACCTTATCCTTGTACTAAACCTAAGAGATACTGTCTCCGGGTGACCCATGATGAAAATCACATCGAAAATCGTATGGACTGACTGCTGCATCATAACAAGAAAGCACAGCCAGTTTAGTGAGCCAGTTTGCTTTATTCCATTATATTCCCAAGCCAAAAAATTGTGAGTCTTTGGCTCCATTGGAAATGATGGAGAGAAGGAACCTAATTGTTAATAAGGTCCTAATAATATACTGGAACCTGATTTGTATATATAAATTAAGGAAGATCTACAATGCCATAAGAAAGATCTACAATGCTATATGATGCAGTGTCGTACACTGTTTCTGGTAAGGGACGAGGTATTTAACGTAATATGGAAAAGTCTTTGTTAGAGTTGTATAGCTTTAAACTTTTAATTAGTAATGATGTACCACATTTATTTATAAAATTGAATCTGGTGGTATAGTATTGTCAGTACCCTAGACGCTCCCATTCAATTAATGATGGTTTGTGATTTGAGCAAATATAAGACCAGTTAAATCATCTGCAGTATTTTGAACTAACAATTTTTATGAACAAACATGCATTTATGTTATCATTTGATGCATCGTTTGATTATATATTGTGCTACCCACACTAAGTAGTGTTTAGCTCCATATAATGTACTATGTAGTGTTTAGCCGCATCATTTGATTATATATTAGCAAAATAATTTGTATTACTCCACACCATTCATTTTGACGCTAAACAATACTTCATAGTGTATAATGATATTTGCAGTTGAAATTTTATTTTAAACATTAAAGATGGCAATCAGAAAAGTTTTTTACTATCATTTCACTTACTGATAAATATGGGACAAAGCAATAGATTGGACACAAATCATTTTGCATATTGAAAAATATGTTACAAAAGAATAGGTTGGACACCTATTTTAGTACTCCCTCCGTCCCATAAAATAAGTCCCACTTTCCTTTTTGGTCCGTCCCAAAAAATTGTTCCCATTTCCCTTTTTGGAAAGTTTTGTGTGGCTAACATTCATTTACCTTTTTCTTACTCAACCACAACCATACATTTCCACTTTATTCCCACTTTCTTAAACTCCGATCCAAATTGAAGTGAGACTTATTTTATGGGACGGAGGTAGTATTTTGTAAATGACAGAATACAAATACCTAAATCAATTTTATATATACAATGACAACATCCAAGCCTTAGTCCCAAAAGATTTTGGAGTCAGCTAACATGAATCGATACATGATAACGGAGTCAAAAGGAAAAGAAAGATAAGAAAGATAAGATATGATATAAAAGATAAAAAGAGATAATATAAATTAGGGATAAGATATACATAAAAATGATAATATAAAAGGATAAAAATGATATATATATATATATATATATATATATAAAGATAAAAGGATAAAAAACATAAGAAAGAAAAGGAGATAAAGGGAAAAAAGATGATAAGAGATCAATCCGGCACACGAATACCTGCCCTCCAATTTGTTCTCTCCAAAGTCATACCCTCATTCAATCCAAGAAGAAGCTTATCACTCATTCACTCATGACTCCTCTAATCCACGTCTATTTGGGGTCTTCCTCTCCCTCTCCTCCCCGCCTCTGCTCCACATGATGTTGGTGAACATATTTATAAAAATCAACATATGTTGGTGAACTCCTGATGTTTGTCATTTAGTCTGATTAATTTCAATACTGATTCTGTGAGACCTAATTTTACTTTCCTTATACTGATTTCAAAAGTTTTAATGTGCGTTGTAGCTGATATACACATGTTTTTTAACCCCCCGGGGGGGTCAGGGGGAGGGGGGCTGGGGAGCCTGGGGTAAACAGGGCTGAACTCCCTCCACGGAGTTTCAAACCTGAGACCTCCCGTATGGGAGAGTGAGTCGGCGACCAGCTGAACTGGACCGCTTCCTCAAAGAATATTATTTACAAGTGACTCTAGTGTACATCTACCAAGCACCTGGCATCTTTAACATTTTATTTTCTTAGATTTTTTTTAGTTCTGACTTCTGAGGTGTTATTGCTTTCTAGGAGAAACTCCTCTTCTTCATGCTGCACGACAAGGTCACACTGCTACTGCCAAGTACCTCTTACAACAAGGAGCTGATCCTGCAATTGCTAGTGAGATGGGGATAACGGCCTTGCATCACTCTGCAGGATTAGGTTGATTCTATCTACTACTAATCCCAAATGTGTATTTTTCTGTAGAAAGAATTGTGTAGTGAATGTCTCATTTTCTGTGGGGGCAGGGGGACGTCTGTTGAGAGTATATGATGAGACACTTGTACTTCAGTGTCATACCTTCATAGTTTCATGTATTGATTTTGTCACACATAAGCCAGATGCTAAGAAATAAGTCATTGGCTTATCTCCGATTTACATTTTACACATATTTGACTAATATGTAGTTATTATTCTCATTTTCTTTAACCTTTTTGCTGTATGCATTTTGGATTGCAGGAAATATTGAGCTGATGAAAGCATTTCTTTCGAAAGGTGTAAATGTTGACTTGCAAAGCCATGCTGGTTCACCACTGATATGGGCTGCAGGTCACGACCAAGAAGATTCTGTCAAGCTGTTGCTAGAACACAACGCTGATGTGAGCAATGTGAATGCACATCATTTCCTTTCAAACATACCTACCCTAAAGCATTTTCTCATCGCTCTTATTATCCCTGCCCCCTCTCTATAATTTTACTGATTTGTTAGACTGCTTTTGTGAACCGGAGTTTCTTGTCCAATTCATAAAAAGAATGTACTGGATACTGTGTTGCATTCTCTTTTCCCTGATGAGGTTCAGGAAAATAATTTTTTTCTTTTGCCTTTTTTTGAAGCCCAATGCCGAAACCGATGATGATATTACTCCTTTGCTAGCAGCTGTGGCAGCAGGTTCGTTGCAATGCCTAGAGCTGTTATTAAAGGTCAAATCAATTTTCTGTATTATTGCTCCTCTCTATGCCTGAATTTATTTTTTAACATGAATATGTGGTGACCAACATGTCATGTATTAGACGTACTCCTCAGTTTACACATTCTTGATGATTATTTTTGGTTGGTAATTATTTAGTTTGATGAAAGTTATGGTATGTGCATTTAACTTGAATGTTACAACCTTTGATATTAACAATTTAACATGATTATATCTTCATGATCTTGTTTGTCAGTATTTTTTGTCTTTGTGACATAAACATGAAAGCTACAACCTTCAATTTTTTCATGATTATATTCTTTGAATAATGTTCTCCCACGAGATATAGCCTGCTGAGTGGTTCTCATTGAAGTTTCTTCTCATTCTGAATGAATTTTCTACAAATTTAATTTCTTTTCCTACATCTCTATCATCCAAAAGATCTACCAATGACTTCATGCTGCCTTTATCTTGCGGTTGAACAGTTTTGGTTCAGAATGTTTTGATGATGTGATTAACCTCGTGATAAAGATCCCATACGTGTTGTTTCTCAATCTTTTGAACAGAATATTACAAAATAGAATGACATTGGAGGAAGGGTTAATTATAGAATTGAAATGAGGGAGTTTATCTCACAGGTCACATAGCATTACTCATGATTTTTGCATTGCGATAACCAAATGAAAATATCATACAAGAATCTCATGGAGTGTATTAAATGGGAGTGACCTTTATTTAATCATTAAAAGTGTATATATTCATTGTAATGGACAATTTGTTACTCTTACAACAAGTTCTGTTTAAATGGGAAAAGATTATTTGTTCCTTGGGAAAAGAATATACAAGAGATGGAGAGAGAATTTGTATTCTATTGTTTTGTTAGTGGGAGTAAAACTGTTGGGAATTCTTATTCCCGTGTTCAATTTATTGCTTTGGAGTGGTATTATGGTAAGTCAATAAGTTGTATAACAATAAAATGCCCATAATTTTAAGGAAAAGATCAGCATTCAATTTCATTTGGTCATTTTTTGTCTGATCTACTTGCTATTTCCTTTCCCTTGGAAACAATATCAGTGGGTCAAATGGAAGAAGTGTTCTTCCAAAGCTGAAGAAGAAATTCTCCTTGGAGTAGTTCCTTTCGTGTGCAAAAGAAGGGATTTTTTTATCTTTTGGGAGAAAATTAATAAGGCAATGGAGCCAAAGATTCATTATTTTTTGGCTTGAGATTATGATGGAATAAAGCAAAATGACTCACTAAACTGTCTGCGCTTCTTTGTTATGGAGCAGCAGTCAGTCCATGCAATTTTGGACGCGATTTTCACTATGGGTCATCCGGAAACAGTCTCTCTGTGCTTTAGTACAGGGGTAAGACTGTGTACATCCGACCCCCTTACCCCACCGTAGGTGGGAGCCTTTGCGGCACTTGGGTAAATGAAAATGAAAATGAATGGAGAAAATTAATAAGGCACAGAATAATTTCTCCCATGTACCAAACATGCTATAAATCTGACATTTTTTCTTTCTGTACAGGCGGGTGCCAAAGTGAATATAACAGCGGGTGGTGCAACCCCTTTACACATTGCTGCCGATAATGGTAGTCCAGAAATAATCAAAACGTTATTACAAGGAGGAGCTGACCCTAATGCCGTTGACGAGGTAGCTATAAAGCAGTTTATATTCTCGTTCCTGCTATTGCTTCTTTACCAAGTAGTTATCTTTCTTTGGTTAGAGTTTCATTCCAAATGACTTAAATCATAAAATAAATCCTGCTAATTATATTGATTCCATGAATAAAAAATATTTAAGCTGCAGCCTGGGAATATCTATGCAAAGTATAATTTGTTTCCTTAAGATATGGTCTTTTACCACGTTTGGATATTGTTCAGTTCGACTAAGTACTTTTCATGGATATGGGCCTTTTTTAATTTTCGAGTCATTTTGCACAAAAAATAGTATTATATAGTTATATACTTATATAACATACAGTGGAGAAGGGAAATGACTCTGGCCTTCATCTAATAGCTGGTTTACCAAATAATGACCATGACTTAGTTTCCAGGCTGGCAAGTTGTTTTAAAAGAAATGCTTTTCTAGTTCTACTTTGATAAGTGTATTGCTATGCATTGCCAGAAGGAATAACTTGTTATAACCCATAATTAAAAACTAGGAAATTGCCCTAAATAGGAGTGAAAACGAGGTGATTTCCCTATACAGGAGTACTATGTTTTTCATGGCAGTACTGTACTCCTATTTCGGAAAAATCAGTATTCCTATTTAGAGAAACCACCTTGGTTTTACTCCTATTTTGAGAAAGTTCCCACTTCCCTAAATAATTATAGCTGCATGAGTTTAAATTTGGATTTGGAAATGCTCGGGATCATCTACAAATGGCCAAAACATGTTCAGGATGGATTGAAGCCAATTCAGGTTGCTGCTGCTAAAGGTAATCGAGCAGCTGCAGACCTTTTTTTCCCTGTTACAACACAACTTCAAGGTGTGCCAGAATGGAGTGTTGATGGACTAATTGAATATATGGAATCTCAAGCTGATAAAGTACAGGTGCATTTTTTTTGTGCTTTCTGCGTGTATAAGATTTTATTACAATTTTCAAATTGCTATCTTGGACGTGGGTGGGCCGTGGGCACATCAAATTTATAAAACTATGAGTCCAGGACAGAGATATGGGCATACTGGACATATAAAATTTTCTAAAAGACCCAAGTATAGCAAAATATTTAAAACACTAAAACATAAGGACTCCCTGCTCAACCAGTTCCCTTGGACAATGTGCACGACACAGAAGAATTTAATGTGTAGGTGTATATGGATCAACACTCTTTACTGACCAGTACAAGCCAGCGTAACAGAGGTTGTGACCGAAATGAAAACCAATGAAACATAATATGAGATCCACGTTGGAAAATTGAAATTGACCCCCATCAATTCCACTGGTTGTCGACCGTACATCCGTACCTAAAAAACCCTTCTCAGATGCCATTGATAAGCTCAATGAAATATCACCTTTTCAAGAGAAGAAAGCAGAAGTGAGATGACATCGACAACTCTCTTGATGAAATTGTTCCTCGCAAAATAGAGATATCTAAAGAACAGAATAAAAAGAGCCCTTTTCGATCAGAAGGAATAATGTCCGGCGAAGTGTTGATGATGAAAATTAGATGCATGCATCAGTCCAATTGTTGAAGGGCTCACCTTTAATGCGTTATGTGAAGTGTCGATTTAGATGTTTTGTGTAGAGTCACAGAGTGAAAGAGGGATTCTATCTTTAGTTCGTATTGTTTGTGTTGCGTGTCCTATCATGACCTATGCATGTTCTATATGCGATTCCAAATTTTGTTGGATTACTCTTTGTGTTGGTTATACACAATGTTGTCAAAAGTGCACAATAGCATTGTAGCAGCATGTTGCAGCTACAGGATCCTCTATTGTGGGCAGATGGTTATCACATCAATATTTTTGCAAATGTCAGCCATAGCAGCTTCAAAATTAGTTTTCCTTCTCTGCACTCACTTAGGTACGACTGGGGCTTCGGGGGTAATTTTGGATTTTAAGTTAGGAGGGTGTCATCTTTTTACATTAAAAACAGACTTTTAAACCGCTCTATCCCCTCTATTTTAATTCCAAACCTTCACCCTTCTCTTGCAACTAGCCTGCACCATCACAACTGTTAGATGACCGACCTCCCTCACTTCGTGACCTCTGGTGACCCATATCAGGGAATATAGTTAATATTTTATGTTAAAGCTGTCAGAATAGCAGTCAATTAGTCATCCTTCTGCTTGCTATACTGCTATAGCGTTTTCAGAAATGGCCACAGCACCATACTATCTGGGATTTATTGCACTGGCAAACACCACAACAACAACATCACCACCCATGCCTTAGTCCGAAAAGAGTTTGGGGTCAGTTAACATGAATCAACATATGAAATTGTTAAATCTTTGTTCGGTCAGAGTCTTGAGTAATGATTAGGACCACTTACTTGGCAGTACTCGGTGATCACTCAAGTCTATATTAAAAGTATACAAATAACTCTACAATGTCATATGTAAATACCAATGTACTTCTAATGGATTTTTTTTTCTGGAAATTATTTACATTTGTCTGCCCAGCGGTTGTTTAAAGAAAAAGTCTCTGACAAAATTTTTTCAACAGAGTTCCTTAAATCTGTAAAAAAATACTGTATCAAATGAGAATGTTTTATAGTGAGAAAATACTTTCATTCAACATACAATCATTTAAACAGCTTGAACTTTGCAGTTTTCAAAAGTTTCAATGCTTAAACTGTTAACTTAATTCCCACACAAACACACTCTATATGTGTGTACTATGTATCGTAAACTTATCAGACAAACAAATAAAATAGCATATATATATGCATGTATGATTAATTGATTATATATATATCTGTGTCTGTATCACACAAACATGAATGCAGACTTATAGAAGATAGAATTTACCCTATATGTTTTTTGAATCGTTCAGAATTATAGGTTATTCCTGTGTTCATGCACAGTGCACACCCACAGTTATATATTCATTCACATAATTCTTGTGGAATTGTTTGTATTCTGATTTTAGTTATATTATATACAGGGGGAAAACACTCTGAAGGATTCGAACAAGCCTGAGGATCCCACTCTTTCTAAGAAAGATTTACCTGAGGTCAGTATATCATTTTTAGCTACATTTTTCTTTCTTATTTGAGTGTTATCTAGTGCTCTTAAATGCAAGAAAGATTTATACCTTTGCATGAATAGTCCATCCTGGAATTGTCATCTAAGCTGTCAAAGTTCAATGTTTATTTGCTCATAATATATATTTGTGTATTTGATCTATTAGAATTCATTTGTTTCTTGTTCATTATATGTGCGTACGTGCATTCCTCTAATGTAAGATCATGATGCAATATTATGCTTGTTTTAGAGTAATGGTATCTGCACATTCTAGTTTTAGTTTTTCCCACTTTTAAGCATAGTTGATTCGAAATCATTAATGGCCTCATATTAAACTTCTCCATCTCAAAATGTTCATTGCTCTTTTATTTCTGAGCTGTCCCAAAAAGTTTTCCTCATTTTCTTTCAAGGAAAAAATTATGTGGTTCACATTGATTCTTTCTTTCCATGTAAATTTCATACCCACAATTTCACTGCCACTAAACTGTGTAAAAAGAAAAAGAGCTGAACATTATGGGACCGATAGAGTAATGTAGTAGTCAATTCTCAACATGAATGATCTCAACATCATGTGAGAAGTGTGAACCTTTCAAGGACCACAGAATATAGTTTTTTGTTGTAAAACTATTACTAAGACTTATGATGTCCGAGGAAATGGAGAGTCATAATATAGTTATGTAAAATTATATCATTGTCATTGCGATAAAGTATTTTTTCGATCCAACAGTCTACTCCCCCATCACAAAATTGAAAGATGATTTGCTTTTAAAGTGTTTGGCAATGAAAACAAAAAGTGTGATGTACTACACAAAGTTATTCCTCAAGTGAGTCTCACAATGTCACATTAGACTAAAAAGTTAGAGGGGGAAAGAGTTAATTAGAAAGAGCTGAGAGGTAGTGGTGTTTAAATTATCAATTTTGTTGGAAGAGATTAAAAAGAAAAGCAGGACAAATAAAATGGGACATTGTTAACAAGGATAATAGTCTTAGTTGTTCAGTAAAAATGAATAGTTTATTTTTAGTTGTATATCAAGTGTCACATGTAGCGTGCCTATTCCACCTCCGATTGGTGTCATGTGATGCGACTAAGTTATAGTGTTTGCCATCACGCACCCAGCACAACATTCCTCCTTTATCCTGGTTTGGGACTAGAATAATTCCTCTATCACGTGCCAATTCCACCTAAAGAAAATAATTTATTTCCAGATATCCCCCGAGGCCAAGAAGCGAGCGGCTGAAGCAAAAGCTAGAGGGCAGGACGCTTTTGGAAGAAAAGACTATGCAATGGCTGTGGATGCATACACACAGGTTTTAACATATTTGTTTTGTTGTCGTTAGTTTCTCGTGATTTTTCTTTGATTTTGTCTTTTGTAATTGTGATCAATTATGACTTTTTAAGTACGTTTGTCACTTGCGCGAATTGTCAGGCTTTTGATTTTGATCCAACTGATGCAACATTGCTTTCTAATAGAAGTCTTTGTTGGCTTCGATTGGGTCAAGCTGCACAGGCCTTAGCAGATGCGAAGGCCTGCAGAGAACTCAGGCCAGATTGGCCTAAAGCTTGCTATAGGGAAGGTGCTGCTCATCGTCTAATGCAGGCAAGCCCATATTATCTTTTTTGCCAGAATGGGTGAGCTGCTTTTGCATTTTCTCAAAACGTCTATTTGTATTTCAGAAGTTTGAAGATGCAGCAAATGCCTTCTATGATGGTATCAAACTTGACCCCGAAAACAAGGAACTTGTGTCAGCTTTCAGGTGTTTCAACCTCTTCAACCTCTTCAACCTCTTTAATTAGTATGTTTAATAATGTAGTTAATATACAGTCTTTACTCTTTAGGGCCAATAAGGAATTACACTATATCAAGGGTATTAAATGTGAAGTTGACGATTCAACCCTCTTTATTATTATGGCTTACGATGAGTAAAGAGTGTTTTTAGATCGGATCATATTTACTGTTTCGGATCATACCATGATTTACTCCTCCACATCCTATCGGGTCATGGTGTGGGGGTGCCTGGGGTGGGCGGCTCTACCTTTTGGATTGAGATTGGATCAGATTTTGAAGCCAGATTTGATTGTATTTGACTAATAAATAGGTTAAAACATTTAAGGATCAATAATGAATTACACAACGATTAGAGGTATTAAAAGCGAGTTGATGGTTCAGTTAATCTTTAATAGAGTCCTTAGCACAATGGTAGCTGGGATTACGTATTCTCATTCATCATATGTTTTCAGAGAAGCTGTTGAAGCTGGGAAGAGGTGCCATGCCATGAGTACTCCAAGTTCAGATGCCTCAAGTTAAATATATGGCTAAGCGGCGACTGCTTTGCTAACATCTCCAGATAAGGCTGATCATTGAGCTTCAACCAGCCATTACCTCTCCGTGCACTTGGCTATAGATTATCGCCATTCGAATTTGAATATATTTAAGCATTTATTTTGTTTCTGCTTTAGCTGATATATATGCTTGTAAACAATGTAACCAATTATAAATGAGGCTGCATTTGTAGAATCTTCATTTGGCATTTCCTTCTTAAACTTTTGTGTGGTTAATGACATTTTTTGTTCAAAGGCAGCCAAATATATTGCCAAATGCCCATACATGACTTTGGGAATGCTTAGGGCTAGGGATGGACCCAACCGGTTCGGCCCGGCCTGCTACTGTGCGGGCCTGGACCGGCCCGATTGGTGCAAACCGGGCCCAGGCTTTTACCTGGTTGGGGCGGGCCGGGCTCGGGCCATGTTTTTCTTGAATCGGTCGGGCCGGGCCTGTTTTTTTTTTCAATTTTTTTGTTTTTCTTGGTTAGGGCTGGGTGTTTTGGGGGAGTTTGGGGGGTGGGCGTGAAGGGGGGGGGGGGGGGGGGGGTCCAGGGTTAATTAGAAAGCAAAAAAAAAACATAGAACTGGGCCCGACCCAGCCCGGCCCGGACCCGGACCCGATTTATACCTGGGCTGGTTCCGGTTCACTCTTTCCCAAAAAAAGCCCGCCTGGGTCTAGGCCTGGAACCGGCCCGGCCTGGGTCCACCCCTACTTGGGGCTTATAATTTTTTCTCTAGCATGCCAAAAAGATACAGTAAAATCACCAATGTGCCTTCTGTTTTAACTTTCAACATTATTTTCTTGCAACGGTAGCTTCTAAACTTTGTCCATGTAAAAAGTAACCCATAACTTAATCTACATTTTACCATTCAATAATTATCACAATCCTAAATTAGTCATAGGGGAGGATCTGATCCATCGGTCTCAACCAGATTGGTGCCTGGTACTTCGTAGGATTAGCCTGGGACTGGTTTTCCGGTCTCGATCAACGCTACAAGGTCCCTGTTGTGGTTAATAAGGACTGCGATCAGCTGGTCTTGGGACCTGGTGCAGTCCCAATCGTCACTTTTTTCCCCCATTTAGCCGTTAGAGGACTTGTTTTGAATGTTGGAGGACCCCTGGCTAAGAATGTCTAGTTGAGGGCTTGGGGGAGAAGGGTTGTGGGACCATAAAAAAATTCTATAAAATTCACTCATTAAAAAAGTATGTTTGTACTTTCATTCTACAATATCTCATTTCCTCTACTCCTATTCTATTCTTCCACTCTTCATTTAAGGTAAGGTAGACCTCATTTTAATTTTCATTTTCATTTACCCCAGTGCCGCAAGCTGCCCACCTTCGGTGGAGTAAAGGGTGTCGGATGTACGCAATCTTACCCCTGTACTAAAGCACAGAGAGACTGTTTCCGAATGACGCATAGTGAAAATCGCGTCCAAAATTGCATGAACTAACGGCTGCTCCATAACAAAAAAGCGCAGACAGTTTAGTGAGCCATTTTGCTTTATTCCATCATATCTCAAACCAAAAAATAATGAATCTTTGATTCCATTGCAACCGATGGAAAAAGGGATTTTTTAAGGTAAGGTAGACCTAAAAGTTTTAATTTTTAGGTCTCTTTCATTTCATGAGCAGCTTCTATTTTAGAAATAATTGTAAAAATTGCACTTTTTATGAACTGCGCAATTTCAATAGTTTATTTAATTAACCTCTCGATCAAACTTTAAATTAGACATAATCTACATAGAAAACATGCTCACAAAATTCCATTAAAAAAAGAAATCAAGATTGGGGCCAGTCTAGATCACACCGACTGGTCTGCCCAACCTAGTTAGGGAATCAGTTAAAGTGGGCCTCTGTAAATTCCTAGGCAAAGAATGGCCGGTGTCAGGCTGGAACCTGACCAGACCGGGTCCATGCCTATATGGGATGTAGCAACAAAACTAAATGGATTGTTTGAAGTCCTCAATTCTTGATGTGATCCCATGCGGGCAGCTTAGGAACATGTTACATTTCAGAACCATCAACAAAAAACTGAAAAATTGTTGTCTTCAAGGATATTGTTTTTAGTTTTGCAAAAAAAGTTGATGTCAAACAGGGCCTTAAATATTGACAGTGGTGCAGGGCCGTAGGCGTGTCAAAGTATGTAGTCATGATACTCAAAATTCGCCATTTATTTATATGCGCAATTACCGCTACAATAATTGTACTGAAATCATCCTTTCCAGGTGAAAAGATGACTCACAAAGTCACAAGGACTTCAATAAGTGAGACTCTTCTGCTTATAAGCACCAGCTGGTGTCATGAACAAGACAAGGTCAGACAACTACAACCAAACTGAAACAATCAATCCAAACGGATGTCCAAAAATGTATAAATAACGTTAAAAGTTCTGCAATGAATTTTGTCAGTGAATCGTATCATCTGTACATCAATCACCTCATGAGCTTGCCTAGAGTGCAAGGGACAGGATGCAAATTCAGAAACCGGGAACAAAAAGGTAGGCAAAATCACTGGCCAAGACTTCTCAGTTCTCACAATGTACATGACCCTACTAGTGTGCATATCCCCCCTCCCAAGATTCTACATCGATAATGGAAGTAGCATTCTCCGTTTCTTTTTACGAGCCAGTCTAACCCGCTTTGTAACTCTCATGCACACGCATAGTAGAAATGTAAAACTCACTAAGATCAGAGCAAGCCTTAGATGGCTGAAATAGAGAGACACACACGTGAAAACAACAAACGCAAATATGACGAGCTCCCATATTACAAATATGACGACATCCACCCTGCATGAAAAATAAAATGAGGTGTAAATGAGCCCTGTGATAACAAATCCTGGATACACAGAAATTATACAAGTATGTGTCCGTGTTTTGAATAGAATAATAATGCAAAATATCTACAAGTTACAGCATTTAAAGTAGAGCAGCAATACTAAGAAATGACTGATCATAACATCATTAATTCAGCAGAGATGAAGCTCCTTATATGAAATAGCTAAAGTGCACCATACAACTACAGATGAGATCAAGAACAAAAGATTGCTCTCTCAGTGGAGTTTGAATCCCTAACCAACTGACAAAGAGCTTGCCTCAACCATGGGGCCAAGGAAATCATTTGCAAAGGTAACAGGAAAGCATAACTTGATATGCAAAAAGTGTGTTTTAAATGACATGATCCCAATCTCGAGCCTGTCACAAATTCGTATTAGAGCCTTTCGTCATGGGGGAATAACCCTCCGTTAAATACAAATGATCCATGCAATGCCCTGGAAGGATGGGCAAGTCTCAGGCAAACGTTCCAACAACTATTTACTTTCTAAAACAATGGCCAATCTCATTACGTTCTCAAAACCATTGATGTATAAAACTATCAATAGGAGAGAAAGTGTGCATGGTCATCCTGAAGTATTATGGGCTGGGGTTTCCCATGCTCAATGTAAAAGAAGACAATTTTCATCAATGTCATTCTTCACAATCAGAACATTTTGAGATGACAAAAAAGATTAATCTCCCCCGGCAATAAATGATGGGGGTTGTCTCATACATGCATCTTCTTCCAAATGACCAAGTTGGCAATTGGCATAACCACGGTATTCAAATGCGAAAGAGGTATGTGCCCTTGAGGTGCAAAATGATGATAAATCACACTTGAAACCAAAGCCTTGTAGAACAGAAACAAGGTTGGGAAACACATTGCTGTCCCAAGAGCACAGAAACAGAGATGGGAATATTTGGAAAGGTTGTCAGGGTTAAAACTTTTCAGAGGGGATTATTTGCTTATGTATAATGGGCTGATTTGTTTAACTTTGGGGAGCTTCAGCAAGCAAAGTTTGACTCCTACTCTCCTATCTCTGCTAGTGTTTTTCACTTCATAAACACAAATTCCTAGTCTCCCTTCTTCATCACTTCAACAAACAAGTCTTTCCATCCAATATTCCACTATCTCGAGCCGGTCAGTAACCCCACAGGTAACCACTATCCACCACCAGCAACCAAGTAAAACTCTGACCACCCCCTTTTTTCCCCTACATAGTTGTCTCTCTCTTTACGTCCCTCTCTCTTTTATATTGTTGCTTACTGCATGCTGCATGGCTGCACCTTTCCTCTACCTCTCAATATATCTGCCTCTTCACTAGAGTAGTGATCACTGATCAGAGTTTTGTCTTCATATATGTTTTCTATATTTTTAGGAATCAATAACTCAATTTATTGTTGGACATAAATAGATAACAAATCAGAGGTTCGTACATATGCCATAAGTTATTTATTATGCAAGACTATGTTCAAATAGCATTTCACAAATCACAAATTTATTGACATTTAGTTTTGAGTTTTGACTATCTTATGAGTTTATGTATCTAGAGAGACGGCTAACAAGCGACACAAATGAAGATAATGGGATTGATAATATGAAAGGAGATGGAAATAAAGATAAGTTACAAATTTAGGCAAAATACACCAAAAGATCCTACCAGCTTTGAAGATTAGTAGCTACTAGTTAGAGTGTTTTCAAAAACACGTTTTTGGTATTTATTGTTGAGCAAAATTATGTGAGTTTTTATTTCAGGACATCCACTTTTTATTCCATTGAAAAAATGTTTTAAATTATCTAGTTTCTTCCCAATTATTGTTATTTTATCACTACCTCCATCCCATTGGACTTTGTTAGCTGTTTTTAGTGTCTAAAACTTTGTCATTTTCCATTTAAAGCAACTAATTTGTGGTTCTTGGTATTTCCATGTGCCGGTCAAACATGACAAACTCCAACGGGATGGAGGGAGTATATAATATATTAATTCAAAACTTAGGCCTCATGAGACATAAGGTGACCGCCTTCGTATCCGAATTTTCTAATAAAACATTGGGTGTAATGGAAATTGATAACTGCAGCTCACTAAAAAGGTCTTAATGGAGGCAATTGAGGCCACAGTTGAAGAGTTATAAATGTAGTCAATGGCAAAGATCTTGTGTATCATTGTGCAACATGTTGGGTCATGTTAGGTCTTAAGTACGTGCACTTTTTCATCTGGGCCTGATTTAAACACTATATACTCAACAAAACCAGCCACAACTTTCCCATAAGGTAATGGTACCAAGTCTAAGTTCCTGAACACAGAAGGGTTTCTATTTCATCAACCACTGTTTCCCTCAGCCTGGGTGTGAATGTGTGATGAAGTTCCCCCCACATTTTTAGGAATACTGACAGAGCTGAAACATGTAATGGAAGTATTATAGGAAGGAGACAGACCTTCTATCCAGTAGATCTGTTACCTA